TTACCATCGTACCATCGTGTCATCGCGATTTCACCATCGTATCATCGTGTTTTCATTATCGTACCATCGTGTTTTCATCATCGTGTCATCGTACCATCGCATTATCACCATCGTATTATCGTGCATCGCGGGTAAGGACGAATAAAAAAAATCACGATTTCAGAATTTCGTTTTTTTTTAATTCTTTTTCACGTTAGAGCTTTAATTTAACTTATAACGGTTTTGTGCACAGTGATTTTTTTTGAACGTCTGTTTGGTAGGTAGGTTGGTAGTTAAATATTCGTAACTACGAACTATTTAACAGCTGGAAGTTGATAAGTCAGTCCACTATGACCACCATGAAATGTTGGAACACACCAGCATGATGTTTTCCCCTAAAAAAAGAAAGTACTTTTCAGCTGTTAAATAGTTTGGAATTACGAATAATCAGCCGCCAGCTTGAAGGTTCTTGTTTATTCGAATTTATTACATGCGGTGGTTTATAGAAAGATATCAGTGAAATATAAAACTGATATTCTCACTGTTTGAAACAATAAAAATATCAATATTTTCATTGTTTTTAATTTAAGTCCGTTACGTTGTTTCAGTGAAATATAATATCAGCGTGCACAATACTGGAAACCAAGTCGTAAAAGACGTCAAGTTATTTTTTTGCGCACTTTTCATTTGGTATTAGAGCAAAATTAAAACGTTTCTTTGCATATATAATAAAAAGTGTTTAGTTTAGTGTAAGATCAAAATATATTTCAACTCGTAAACACCAAAAGTTCATATTTCACTCGTGGCTGCGCCACTTATGAAATAAACTTTTTTATCACATAAACCGCGGCGCAGGAGTGTAATAAAGCCATTAAATAAAAACGATATTACACTAGTGTAATAACACTTTGACGTGACGTCATTTGCGCTATATAGAATCATAGCGTTAATGCGCTCTAATGTTAGCGTTACCATATAGGCGCGTCGATGAAAAATTACTCATTTTTACAGTTTATTGTTCTTATTTTATATTATGTGATAAATAGAATATCATATTCGTGTAGATTCAATACTAAATTTATTGAACTCGTTGAATAAAACAATATTATGCTCGCCAGAGGCTTGCATAATATGATTTTATTCAACTCGTTCAATAAATTTAGTATTAAACTACACTCATTCAATATCCTCTATTTATCACTTATCCGTGCCGTTTTTGCGACTCCGTAAATGTGGTATTGCATGGCCGTGCATATATTTTGACGTGACGTCATTTACGTTATAAAAACATAGTGTAAAGACGCGCTAAATGTTAGCGATACTCTATAGGCGCGTTAATGAAAATGATTCTTTTGCACTTAAAACAGTATTTACTTTTTGTATGTAATTCATAGAATATTATATTCGTGTTGGTTCTTTACTGATTTTATTTAACTCGTTCAATAAATTCAGCATTGATTAACCTACACTCTTTCAATATGTTCTTTTGGTGCTCACTGGGGAAAATATATTCCGATCTTACACTGAACTTAATTCTCTCCTAATGTCTCTATAAAGATTTAGACATGAATAATAATTATAATGTTTTCCTGTTTAAATTTTCTTTAATATTCCAGTATTAATCCTAACAAAAGAAAACAACAAACAAAAGTTATCACCAATTATTTTCATTTTAAATGTTCAAATAGGTAAGAAATTTTAAGAAGATTTAGTAACATTTTTACGCAAGCTATGTCATAAAGTGGTAATTTTGCGACATTTACGACAATGTTGCGACATTTGGCGGCAATGTTTGTCCTCATTTGGTAACAATGAAATAATCTTCTGGTAGGCTCCTTTGAAGTCGTCTTCTTGATATTGATTTTGATTTAAACTTATTACGAATGTATTTGATTTTAACAGTCATCAAACAGATTTTAAAACTCTGAATTCAGTTTACTACATTTTTTTAACAATTTCAGCGTATTTGTATATTTATAAATTTAATTTTCTTCCATTCCACATTTATCATAAGCAATTGTGTGTAAAACGGTCTCAACACTGACAAAACCAGCATTCAAACAACTACGCTATTACGCTTAACGGTTAAAAATGAGTAATTGTTGAGGTAGTCGATAAATAGTATGCTTTTATATAAGAATTATCGACACCCCTTTTTGCCAATATTGATGAAAACAGATGTACAAGGATAAATTGTATCTGTTACATCATGAATCTGTTTTATGTTAAAATAGCGTCAACGCACGTTTATTTCGTGATATAAATGTAACATTTATATTTTCTATTTGGATGGCTTACTAGCACACAAACTAAACAAGACCCGAATGATGGTTTATATATTTTATTATATGTGTTGCATCCAATTATACACTCATAAACTCCCAAACATCAAGTAAACATACACACAGTAACAATAACGATATTTGATATTAAAGGCGTGGCTTATTATATCTTGTAGACTTGCTTACTACATCCTCCTCTATCTTTAGTTTAGAACTCATCAATAAAATCAATAAACTTAAATTATCAAAACTTTAAATTTAAATGTGCAAACACATTGTAATAAGAAATATTTTAAGAAATATTTTTCCGTATGAAATAAACTATCCAGCAAGTCTATTGTTATAAACTCTTGTCTTTCAGACATCCTAAGCCTGTGAAAACTTGAGAATATTCTTCAATAAGTCCTGAATATGCGTCTTTGTTTTGAACTGATTTTTGAACTGATTGTATTTTGCGGTAAAATCCCAAGCTCTACCAATAATTCATAACTGATCAATGATTCTTTGTTGCCTTTAACAATATGAAAATTTTTTGTCATAAATTTTGAGCCCGACTCCACAAATAGCGAACATTTGCCTATGAATGGAAGTGGAGATTTCTGCCCAAATGCGAATGCTTTTGTTTTCGTTTTCTTGATTTCTGGACGAATTTTCATTTTCTCGAGGTCAATCTCGCTAATAATATTTAACGATGAACCGCTATCTATCAACACATAAACATCTACGCCATTTAATTTAATGCTTTTCTTTGGCACTTTTTTTCCATCTGATATCTTAAATCCAAACAAAACATCGCACTCATTTGAACTGATAATCGGTGTGCTTGCCTCTGATAAAACTTGTGAATCCGACTGTTCATCATCGATTAATTTCACTTTGTTTTGACGTTTTCTGCAGACCGATATAAAATGATTCTTCTTATGACAGTAGTTACATTCCGCTCCGATAGCAGGACAACGTGACATATGTGGATACTTTCCTCCACAATTTCGGCATTTTTTCCTTAGTTCTTGAGGGTTGTTTCGCTTTCCCGACGACGAACTTGCTTCTTGGATAGTTTGATATGAACGTTGCTGATAACGTTTAGGTGCAAATCCCTTTGATTGACGGCTAAATCGAGGATTGCTTTTTACCCGCACTACTTGCTGACTACTTGTATCCTTTGACATATTTGCTGCTTGAGTTTTGATATTTCCATGGTTCTCATTTTTGTAAGTAAGTCATTAAGTGATTTATCCGGATCCTGTAAACACTGCATTCTCATGTTTTGTGAAACAACACCCTGTATGACCTGGCTTTTAATTTCTGAGTCAATATCCGAAAATTCACAATACTTCGCTTTCTGGCGTAATGTTGTTGTAAACTGGTCGATAGATTCCCCATGCAACTGCTTCATATTACGAAATTCTAATATTTCGAATTGTGTGTTTTTTCTTGGCTTAAAGTATGTTGTTAATCCAATTTTCGTTTCTTCGTAGTTTTCATTGTCTTCTCTTAAATTCAATGTATCATATATATCGTAAACATCGTCTCCAGCATAATAAAGTAACAGTACCTTTTTTCGTTTTTCTAGTGTTTATACCCAGTCCAACAAATAAGTTTTCTAATTTATTCAAATACTTTTCCCATCGTACTCCCAGAGATTTTCATCAGCAAAAACATCAAATTTTGGAAAAGCAGGTAAATTATCCATTTTCAAATCTTTTTTTTTTTCACAGAGTCAGTTTAAATTAATCCACAGTTGTTTTTTTTAATATCCGATCCTCGTCGCCAATGTAACATTTATATTTTCTATTTGGATGGCTTACTAGCACACAAACTAAACAAGACCCGAATGATGGTTTATATATTTTATTATATGTGTTGCATCCAAGTATACAATCATAAACTCCCAAACATCAAGTAAACATACACACAGTAACAATAACGACATTTGATATTAAAGGCGTGGCTTATTATATCTTGTAGACTTGCTTACTACAATAAAGTCTGCAGAATCCCTCGGAACTGTTGGAGACCTCGCCCTACCGGGATCGGGCACCAACCTGTCCTCGGGACACTGCAGACGTTATTACACGAAAAAAAAAATGAGTAAACCCTATATATATAAAGGTGAAGTTACACGAACCGCAAATGGCGTAATTACACAAAGCAAAAGGCGTTATAACGTTTATTTTATACAATATTAATTCACTAGAATTCACTATATTCAAATGCGATGACTCAATAAAGCTTACTAGAGGACATGACCAGTGACCCACTTTACGTATCAAATGCAACATTTAATCAAAACATAACAACAGGAGAAAAATCTCGAAAAATTTAAATCAGACAGCGGATTTGGTCAAATCCCATTCTGTATGTTAAAATACCCCTGTATGTTAAATGATGTAAATTATATTCTATACATTATAAGTCCTTAACTTTTTCTTAAGTTGGATTTTAAAACTGCTTAAGTTGTTTGTGTAAAAATATGTAATAAATAATCTATAATAATATTTCTTCTGTTCTTTACACTTTGCGTAAATGTAACATAAACTTTACAGCACGACAGTCACATACACAAAATTGTAAAGTAATTGTAATAGTTGCGTGAATCTAATATTTAATTTAATCGGTTCATTTATTTCTCTAATAGTTATTTAAATGTTACTTTTCTCAATTTCCGTTCTACAGATTTTTTTTAATGTTGAAAAAAAGAGGTGATAATCTGAATATGCTGATATTCATATTTTTCAGAAAGGTTACATCAAATAGAAACGGAAAATGGCTAGCCCGGATAAGAAACGGAAAATAGCTCCCAAGGTAAGGACATTATAAAATAAATAAATCAAATAATAAATAAACCAACAATTCTAACACTCACGTGATTTTGTCACTATAGACAAAGAAGGAAAAAAAAAACTGGTGTTAAACTGCCAATAAACACCGGTTAGGGACTACTTGTATATGGGCTGTTATGTTTTCACCCTCAATTGTATAGTTTACAAAGCATTTTAAAGCAACAATAAAAAGCATTTTTATTTATATTTTCAGTTCTTATAATGTTTTCTTTTCATACAATACCGAAATAATTTCACACATACACTAACGCCACATATTAGATCCATATCAGTTAATAAATATTTTGACAAAACGGCGCCAATCCGTAAGCAGCCTAAGTAAACAACTCATTCATAAACAAGCTGACGTTATACATAATACAAGAATGATAAATGGGGCGCTGATGTAAACACAATACGACGTAAGTTTTTATTGTTGAAAACTTGATAAAATAACGTGTGTTCTTATTATTTATTTTGTTTAATAATTTCTATATCTTCGCCACAGTAGGGTGTGAAAATCGAACAGCGTTATACGAAAATCGGCACCGGAAGTTATTTCCGCTTGAAAAATAACATTAGTGATTTTCCTTATTTTAACGTGTTAGAATCGAAATAACATCGGCCTGAGAGGTGTATATCGGCTATTTAACACCGGTTTGGAGTTTTGATGCGTAGGAATTGAAAACGAATTTGTTAATCTTTTTTTATATTTATTTTTTTATTTATTCATTCATGAAAGCTTGAGTGAGTGATTAATTGATTGATTGATTGAGTGATAGAAATATAGATTGACTGATTGGTTGACAAATTGATTGATTGATTGTTTGTGTGATTGGTTGATTGATTACAAGTTGTGGTTGTCTGTTAAGTGTGAAAATATTTAAAAACTTAAAAACACATGCATGATTTTTCATTTGGATATCGGATATATATAGTATATGGAAGATATTTGTTTTGCATGTAAGTTGACAATGTATTTCACAGAGTAGCCATTTGTGAATATACATCAGCCGGTGGTGAAAAGATATATTATGCAAAATATATAAAATTTCTATTCATTTCAGTGTTTTAATGGCTTTAAGGTAAGATCCCTGTAATGGAATCGGGTTTTTCCCTGTCATTTCGGCATTCTACGTAACTTATCGGCACATCCGTTACCTCTCGCCCGTTTCCGTAAACAGATTATTTTTTACAACTTGCGCTCTAGTTTATGACGCCATCAAATCATGTCGTGACAATGATGATATTTAAAAATCATTTACAAAAAATTTCACTTAATTCATAAATTTGTTTCATTTTAAAATGATAAAAAATGATCAATATTTTTGACCTCTGAGACACATAAATTCAATTTCTAGCTGCTTTAAAATTCAAGCCGATCCTGAAATTGTTTATAAATGAGCTTTTATGCAAAGTTTATCAAACAATTCATTTTTTTGCCCCCAATATTTTATTTTGAATAAAAGTGTAAGGGGCTTCGGACAGTAATAACTTAAGGAGATGACAATTATGAAGATTAATCACAAATATTTATTGTCTATATATGAATGAACAATGTTCTAAGTTCTGCCGCTTTCAGGACACTAATAATTATTAATTTTATATAAAAGCTGCATATTCCTTTGTAAAATGAATGCGAATAATCAAATAGTTAAAAGAAAGTCTTAATTTATTATTGACAGGTTTTTAACGATCCTATCCATGGTAATATAGAGTTACATCCCTTGCTGGTGAAGATCGTAGACACGCCGCAATTTCAACGCCTAAGATTCATTAAGCAACTCGGTGGCAAATATTTCGTGTACCCCGGTGCATCACATAACAGGTTCGAGCACTCCATCGGGTATGTACTAGTATCTCGTTATATTATTTTTTCAAAGGTCTTTATTTTACCTAAATATATCCTTCAATCCTTAGCACCCAGACCTCAGCACCCCCATCGTTACACAGCAAGATGTTATTTCGTGTCACTTATTAGGCACATAACTCTTATATGGTTCCGTATTCAATTATGTACTCGTACAAGTTATCTCCCCCCGGACTACAAAGCGGAAGTCTTGTGTTATTTAAAACATAAAACTGGTCTAAGTGTTGTGCAGAAGCCAATTATTTAATCAACTTAACTTAGCTTTTTTTCTGCAAACTGATAATCCTGTGAACATTGTGTCGTAAATTTCAAACGAAAATTCATTAAAAATTATTTACAACTCATTCATTTCCTCTTGGGGAAATCATGCATTATTGGTTAAATTTAATGATTAGAAATGTCGTGTTCCATACAAGACTCAATCAGCAACATAAGAAAGATTTTAAGCCCAGATCTGCAGTAAATGGTGATTTTTAGTCTTTGATTTTTTTTACATGAAAGTGTTTGCCACCTAGCCGGACGATTCGTGCGAACTCTTAGAGACAAGCAACCGGACCTGGACATAAAAGATGAAGATGTACTTTGTGTTGAAATCGCAGCCTTGTGCCATGACCTTGGTAAGATTTACTTTTCTAATACATACCATTTGTGAAGGTAGATATCGTGATTCAATTTTTAGTGCAGTTATGTAGAGTAATACACAGTTCGAGCTCTTTGTAGATAGAAATGCGCAATTATATAGTCACACAAACGTCAATAGCTCTGTGAGGTTATCTATGTACAATACATTTGAACGATACACAATGCATTATTTTAATACAAGGCAAGAATTATATATATAATAACAACAGTAAAAAATTTAAAAGAAAGATAATTATGTTAAACTACATAAAGCGGAGAAGTAATTTTGTGTGTCGACGTCACTTCTTACATCTTATGACATGCAAGCTTTCATTGTTATGCTATGTATGTATCATGTTTTAATTTATCAATGAAAATTTTCCCATGCTGCGATTTGTCGGAACCCTGTTTTTTTTTCATTGAAAAAGTCGCCATTTTGAATTGCTGCAAGGTAGGTTACCGAGACATTTTTAAAACAAGAATCTCATTTGCAATACTTCACAACAACGGAATTTAACATTAGTTTTTTTTTTGTTCACTAAGTAATTAACTTTTTAAGTTTATGTACAGTTAATTATTAAAATTGTCAATAATAAAGTGCTTTCATAATCGCCTTGTTATTAGGCTTTAGACAGTCATATTAGCCTTCGGCCGAATATGTCTTCAGTATTCAGTCCAATCTCAAGGCCATTATGAAAACACTTAATTATGAACATTATATAAATATTTGATGCAAAATTACATGTAAACATGATGTTTTTATTCTGTTTATTATGCAATATCATACATTACATAAATATTTTCCTTCTTTATTAACATAAATACTAACGGGAGTGTCAATTATAAAGTTTTCAGTATGTCTTAAGCGGTTCGACAAAAAGTAAAGTGACCGCCTTATAGGACATTATTTTTTTATCGGACCGCTAAAATTAAAATGAGCCGTGTCACGACACAAAACCAACATAGTGGGTTTGCGACCAGCATGGATCCAGACCAGCCTGCGCATCCGCTCAGTCTGATCAGGATCCATGCTGTTCGCTATCAGTTTCTCTACTTGTAATAGGGTTTGTAAGCGAACAGCATGGATCCTGATCAGACTGCGCGGATGCGCAGGCTGGTCTGAATCCATGCTGGTCGCAAACGCACTATGTTGGTTTTGTCATGACGCGGCTCAAATGAATTACTGTATTTTATACCTTTTTCACAGGACACGGACCATTTTCTCATGTCTTTGATATGAAAATTATTCCTAAAGCGTGGGAAATGGATGACCGTAAAAATAATGAAAAATGGAAAGTAAGCATTTATACATTTTCTTCAATTAATTAAACTGACCATGTGACTACAGTTATAAATGAGAATCTCAGGTTGTTTTCACGTTGTTTAAACTTTATACAGGTATTTATTTCGATCTGTTTATGAATAAATTCAAGGGATGTTAGGTATATGTTTCACTTATAATATTTAAGAGTATATATCGCAGTCAGCTGAACTGGTCACACTATATTATTACTATGCATCTATTATGAAGAAGAGGTTTGTTAAGCATCAGCTGTGGTTTAACGGCGCACAAACACAGTTAAGGTCAAATATAGCGCCAAAACATGACATATGATTTGGGTACCTCAACTTGAAGCAACACCAGGGGCCAAACCTGCTGGAGCTATGAGATGCATAGAATTTAGTTACTCGAACCCATTTAGTTGCCTTTTACGATCACACAGGCGTCATTTCATCTGTTCACAATGATTTAAATAGATAATGAATAAGAAATGTAAGACTCGATGAAAAAGGAGACTTTTTTCTTCTTTGTGATTATGATATCTGCAAGCGTCTAGAGGTACTGCCCAAACACTGTATTGAGTTGATTCCAATTACCCAAGGTTATTAAGTTAATGAAAAAACAGAAAACCGGTTTGGATTTTAAGAGCTACAATAACAACTCTTCTGCCTTTTCCGTCAAACCTCGGCCGTTTCCGTCAAACTTCGGATAAGGATGTGTAGAATATGTAAAAGTGAATAGTCATATCACTTGAATCTTGATATATATTTTCATGAAGCACGAGCAAGGCTCGATCGACATGTTTGATCACATGCTGAAAGTAAATGCAGGACTTGCAAAAGAATTCAACGATATGAAATTCACGAACGGTAAGAAATTCACGGAAAAGGATAAAACATTTATTAAAGAATTGATAAATGGGCCAAAAAAAGATGACCGCAAAGGAAGAACGAAAGAAAAATGGTTTCTATACGAGGTACATTTTTTGATATTCTAGATATACATGTATCAGTAACAATATAAACGTACAAAACAAGTAATTTGATTACATGTATTTTTATGCATTCTTCAAATCTATGTTTCGTCAAAATTTCATGGTCACGTTAAATCTGGAAAGACAATCTTGTTTATTAATAATTATTACAACTTTGTTCATACTTTTTAGTCACATTAAATCAATTAAGCTCTATATGTATTTTGTTTTAATTTATGACGAAAAGCGGCTCAAGCGCCTCGCTTGACTCTTGTTTACTAAGCGACCAAATGTCGTACACATATCATTTCAAGTTTATCATAAGAGTAGATTGGTCTACATTGGGCACTATTTTCATAGTATTTCAAATAATGATAAATCAATGGAAAAGGATTATTTTGATATTAAAATGGAACATTTCTTCAAATTTACTGTATTTTACAGCTGAATACTTGTTTTTTACAAATAATACTATTTTTGCAGCTTGTTTTCTGAAAAGAAATTTTAACTACCTATTAAAACTGTTTAAATTAGACAATTTACTTTCTGTGGAGCAAGGGCTTTTGAACGCATGTCAACAGTTGCATTTGAGGAAATGATCAAAATAAGTAATAGTTAGACGTTTAAGGAAAAAATCAAACGCTCAAAAAGCATAGTCATTTGCATTTGATAAAGCAATTCAATGATCGTTCAATAAGCATATGTACGTAGATTTCCGTGTAAATCACGTGAATTCACGGACAATAAAAATTTTGTGAAGCGCCGTATTTGTAATAAAAATATTATTAATTAATATTTTTTTAATTATAAAGTAAATGAAAGGAATTTCCAATATCATAGAATAATATACTAGAGAAATTTTGTTTTGGTTATATTCTGCTGCATTTCACGCCAGCAACCTAACTGACTTTTAAAATAAAATCTAAAACATTTGTCAACATTGTAGATTGTTTCCAACGACCGAAATCAGATAGATGTCGACAAGTGGGACTACTTTGCACGTGACTGTCATATGTTGGGTATTGGAAACAATTTTAATCACAATCGATTAATATCATTCTCGAGGGTTATAGAAGTTGAAGGAGAACAGCAGATTTGCTACAGAGACAAAGTAGGCATTGTTTGACTTTATCTTATGTTGTTTGGTAAAATATTGAAATATTTCAATGAGATATAAGTCATATTACACTTTTTGAAACATAGAATCAGGGTACTGTTATATACATTGAAAGGCATTGGAAAGCGGAACGCACGAGGTGAATGCATTTTTATTATAACTTATTTCGGGTCTTTGCTGCTATTTTGATTCATGTCTGGAATGATAAGATAATATAAGCAAACGTTTTGATTTTAATAAATCTTTTTTAACTCGCGCTTTGCGCTCTAGATATCTAAAGTAATCCCAAATGGATATATAATCCATGTCCACTTTCCAAACAAATATCCTCGATTTTTCATTTGCTATTATTTGAATATTGATTAAACATCTGATATAAACAACTCTCCTTACACTGATATATAGTCTGATTTTATTGACCTGTCAATTATGAATACATTATAGCACTCATTTAAATATTCGATCCCACTTCGGTTGTGTCCGTTTATTTTACGAGAATTAATATGGAGCATTGTAACACCGCACTTTGGGGTCAAACGCACTTTGGGGTTGGACCCCACAGTGCGTTAAACTTTGCACCGCACTTTGGGGTCCAACGCACTTTGGGGTCAAAATCGAGAAATTGACCCCAAAGTGCGTTAATATGCTACATATCAACGCACTTTGGGTTCAAGATGTCTAAAGGTGTCATCTGAGTTCTGCTTAAATACTGAGTACTGACTTATTTTCTATCTGCGACATTGGAATATTTGATGTTGAATTCAAGATGGCGGTCAATACTTTATGATGCTTAAGTGATAAAAGTTTTATTAATTTTACCACTTGAAATATCTGAAAATTGTGTTCATATAACAAAATTACGAAGGCATAAAAGTGACATTTGCAGTCTTTTTGTTTTTAGTTTTGTATACATATTTCATTTTAGTTTTGCATACATATTTTTTTCAGTTTTGCATTCATATTTTTTTTTCGTACATATTTTATTTTTGTTTTTCATACGTATTTTAGCCAATCAAAACTGCCTTCAAATCTCATAACAGCCCATAGCTGAGTATAAAACTAGCACAGTGGTTTGGTCAAATTTCGGTCCATTTTTGGAATCGGCGCAGTCGTTTTCGGCCGGGCAAGTCTGGTTTCGGCCGACTCTTTTCGGCCCATTTTTTACATATTATATGTATTTTATATTTTTTGTTTTTTATTATTATCACTTCCTTAGCACATCCGGATCAAGATAATGTGCAGAACTTATATGTCAGGTGTGCCGGCTTAAGGTCGGGGTCACACCTACAGGTCAAAGGATAAAGACTTTGGTTTCATGTCCGCTCTTTATCTCCGAAACCCCATGAAGGATTTTAAGACACCTTGTGACAAATGTTAACCACATCGAGACCATATGCAGAACCTTTCTTTGGGTTACCGCGGATACTAAAAAGTGTTGTTATTTTTTTGATACCTCCAAAAATGAAAATGTTGGTATTTACAAATGGCATTTGCAAATGGGGTACTGTGATTTACAGATGGCGAAGTGTTTGAAAATGGTGTTTAACAAATGGTGTAATTCTCCAAACCTCTACTTTGCAAATGGCGTCATGTAAAAATATGTACGAAAAAACAAAAATAACATATGCACAAAAAAACTGAAATAAAATATGTATGCAAACTAAAAAAGAATATGTGTGCAAAACTAAAAAAAGTATGTACATGTATTCAAAACTAAAAAGAAAATGTTTGACAGACAAACAAAAAATATGTACGAAAAACAAAAAAAAAGTATTAAAAAAAATACAAATGTTACTTTTATGCCACCGTTCAAAGTACATGTACAGAAATTGTGTATTCCTAGAATTAAAAGATGCTGCGAAAAATATCCCGTTCTGTCGGTCATTTACTTGATAACTTTTGGTGCCATATTGAGCCCAATTTTAGATATGTTGGGAATGAAATAAAATGCTGTTAATATTTTTTTCCAAAGAACTATAAATATACTCTATTGCAATGTTCTGGTGAAAAATCAAGTTTTTCGATGGGACTATAAATAGCGATTTTTACAAATACATTAATACATTAGCTTATCAACAAACTTAAGGGTTTTTGTAAGCTCCGTAACAACCGTTCGCCAGAGGCTTTTTTATGGGAAATCTTACATACTTATATAGAAAGAGCAAACATGATTTTTATAATGTTAAAATAATGGTATCAGAGAAATGTAAGATGCTTGTATCTGAATAAAGTAGCGATATCCGTGAAATTATTCGTCATAAAAAAAGTCATAACACACTAGTGTTTGACTTCCATATAAAATACTAATTCACTATAACTGTACTCATCATTGCCAAAAAGCAACAGATGAAAAAGATGGTTCAGATAATTGGCCACTGTGTATTTTTTTGATATTACAGAAGAACATCAAAATAAAAAAGCTTTTAAGAAAAACAAATTAAAGCATATTGAGCCTTTAAAACGTTATTTTTAACCATCGGGGGGATCGATACCCAAAAATCCCCTCTATACCCCAAGTGAGAATTTTACATTATTCTGTAGCTCCGCTCTTAATGTGCGACTATTTAAATAGTTTATGATATTTTTAGTACTGCCTGTACGGACTTCTACTTTTAGTCGCATCTACACCTCGTCAAGTTTCTTATATGTCACATTTAGCTAAATAAATGGCTCTTTCAACATATTATCAGGCACGTTTTTTTACTGAAATGTCTTACTAAGATTTCCCAGAATTTATTCCTTTGTGTATGCTAAGTCTATCATATTTCTATAAAATGTATAAACAAAAAAACACGGGAAAATAATGCATTTAGCTAAAAAAAACAATGGAGTAAATGAAAGGTGTACATTCTTTTAAAATAAATGGAAAATTTGAGAAAATATATTTTATGCTTAATAATTGATACAAACTCATTATTTGGTGATTTATTTGGTGAAAGTTCTTCACTTACTAATCAAGACCATTTAAATCCCTATTGATTCTACTATACTTCAGGGCACATGTTTGTGTTTATTTAATATCTTGATTTTTTGTTTACCATTGGCTTTGACTACAATATATTATTTTAAACATAATGAACATTAATTTTCTATGACCCCAAAGTGCGGTCGTTTGCCTGATGTTAAAAAATGCATATGTACCTGTTTAACGCACTTTGGGGTCGAAATTGGACCCCAAAGTGCGTAACGCACTCTGGGGTCGGACCCCAAAGTACGTAACGCACTTTGGGGTCGGACCCCAAAGTGCGTTTGACCCCAAAGTGCGGTGTTACAGAGCATATAAATAACGTTTGGATAACTCTCACTAGCTTAATAAAGGTTCTCGTAACATCCGCAATAGCGCAGTCGGGTAAGTGATTACCTAATGCATGAGAGGTCCGAGATTCGATCCCTTCTTTCGACATTCTTTTTAGACTTATTTTTTCTTTATTTTTAAGAAATTTTGTATTAAATGGTCAAGCGCCTGCAAAATTTTCTACACGGATATGAAACACCTAAGAAACACTGAATTGTCACATTTTGTATTGTATTTTACGGTACTGAAATTACATTTATTGATTTCAATCCGACTGAATTTTCAGAATTAATTCTATTATAACAAACAGTTATAATATAACAATGTTATATACAAAAGTATAGTATTTACAAAAAAGTGCAAAACATATTAAAAGCGGAACAACCATAACTTCAAAAATGTTGAAAATAGTGAATAAGAAAAAACCTGGACTATTCTGTCTCGATCTTACAACACGTTGGACATTCAGATAAAATATACCCGTGTCCTATTGCGCTATAACGGTCAGTGTAACTTATTCATCGAAACTATATAAGTTTAATCACATCTTACTGCGTACCTCTCACGGAATTTACCGAACATTTATCGAATATTAATATATTCTGTGCATTGACCGTATAATCAGTATGGAATTGACAGGTTAATAAAATCAAACAATACCTGTGTTTTATCTTCTTTCTCATTGATCGATAAATTCGTTATTACTGGTTACTTATCCTGGAGAGCATGAGCCGAGATATGACCAAAGACTTGTTAAATTTGTTGAAACAAATATTGTTTACATAACCTACTAGTATATCATGTTGTTTGTTGTACACACGCTGTATATGATAATAAAGATATATATCTAAAAGTTATAACAAAATATATATCACAAAGTATACTTGATCGTTTATCTTTAAATGCTATATTTAATGTAGAGTATAAAAAGAAAATACAGTACATGCATTGTAAAAATCTACATACAATGTTTATTTCTAGGAAGCTACAAACCTGTATGATATGTTTCATATCAGAAATTTACTCCACCAGAGGGCGTACCAACACAAGACAAGCAACTGCGTCGAAATCATGTATGTATCGATGTTAATATCTTTTATTCCTCCAATATTGAAGAGCATAATACATGTAACAAATTACTAATATTTTACAAATAGTAAATAGAAACATATGTACAAATCAATCATAATCAAAATAACAAAATAACAAATGCGTCCTTAAGAATCTCACAGTTGTCTAAACGCAGAAATAAAGATCGAAAATGTCAGACAAAAGCGTTATTCATAGTTATAATTATTAAGTATAAACAACTGATAAAAGACAATGTCCACTGGTTTAAAATTAACAAGATACGAAAACAAAAGGCTAGTCAAGTTACAATGGAATTTGTTCCTGCATACTTAAGTATAATTAAGTTATAAAGTAATAAATAGGGATAATATTTCAAAAACTATGACGAAAAAACATAGTTGCATTACATAATTATGTAATTTGAATATTTCAAAGTATCGGATATAAAATGCATTTGTTCCATATCACACTAATCGAACATTTTGCAAACACATATACGAGGGTTGTTCTGGAAGTTCTGGGAATTTTGTCATATCTCCTATATTTTTTGTTTCTAAGACGTAATATTTTGCACATACTAAGATTAGCATATCACGGAACTATTCCTAAAGATTGTATAGAATCAGACAACAATAGCCGGAAATAGCAGTAATCATAGCAACACTATAACGCCGCACCGGAGCAGTCCGACTCTAGTTATAACGCGCTGCACTAATAATATTTCGTAATTTTGATAACGTAAAAAATGCGCGAAAACGCTGGTCAGCAGCGGAACGTCATGACGTCATTTCCTGAAAATATCATAACGTTATTTAAATTCTAAACGGATCAACATTGTTTTAAAGTTGTTGCCCAGAGCCACTGAGTAAACAACATGACGTCGATAGGTGACGTTGAATTGCGAAGCATCGTGAAATTTTGTGTTGCGCGGGAAAAGTCTTCCACAGAAACAATGAAAATGGTCAATTCTACAGGAAAATACAAGAAATGCAGTCCGGCTACAGTGTATAGATGGCATGCTCGTTTTAAAGAAGGAAGAAACTCGATCGAAGACGATCCTAGATGCGGTCGGCAGTCTGTTGTTGCATGTTTAATTAAGGACTCGGTAAAATACATGATAAATTGCGACAGAAGAACGACAGTTTAAGCATCTTGTTAAGCATACGCAAGCTATAGTCTCGTCCTTTACCGATAGCTGGTACGTGGAAACATACATTACGGAAACAAATCAGCCGCAATTAAGCTTATTATAATGCACGGCAGCATATATTTGTTGATGTCGTGTTAGAATCGATATAATATATCCAAATCGGTGATTTTATTGCTTGATAACATCACTGTTTGTCGTTCGGATGCGCATCATTATATTACTCGGGCTACACCCCCGTGATATAATTCCCCACATCCGAACTCCAAACAGTGATGTTATTGAGCAATAAAATCACAGTTTGGGATATATTATTTCTTAAATAATGCACGCAGAATTAATATCTATTTCCATTCTAACACGTCAAGGAAAAAAATATATAATTATTATTATAAAGTTGGACATAACGGTGGGTTTTAAACAGTATTTCATTTGAACAAAATGAGATCAAAGGCCATCATGGAAGATAGCACATACCTCCTACCAACCAGTGGGGGCACCGACTTAGAAAGAACAAGCAAACGCTTGTAAAAAAAGAGCCCAGGGAAGGGGCGGATAGCCACAAATTAGAAATAAATCCGGAAAAATTTAAAAGTTAAAGTATGACCTTACAGGGTCAATGGGATAGATGGTGGTTTAACCGCCTTGGAACAGTCAAAAGTGTAATCACTATCAGGCAGTAGATTTAATATGCACAATTGATATTGCAGGCTGGCCGAAGCTTTGGTGTTAGCTGACAAGCACATAACATTCGAGGGCAAAGACGGGTAAAGGTTACTTTTGCTTCTTTAAAAAAAAAATAAATAAAAAAAAAAATAAACAAAAAAAACATAGTTAAATAAACAAGAAATATCTTTAAAAAAGATAATCGGCGTAAATTCAGTGCAAAATGTCTCATAGCTTTAGAATATTGTCAAAATTAATGATGTAAATACTTTATAACAATATAAATGTCTAAAGTGAAATATGTTTGGTGGTTACTAGTATAATCTATGACAGTTGTCTAAACTTAGCTGAAACATGTATGCTCCTATAATGTCAACAAATTAGTCATGTTATTATAGATGCTAGAAGCTTTTTTTGTCACCGTGACTTTTGACTACTGATTTCAAAGTCAATACCAGATAATAACCAACCACACTACCAAATTTAGAGACTGCAAAGGCCACAATCAGCTGACAACTTGAATTTTATTGTTAAATAATATTAACTTATATGTATCTGACCTTCATTTTGTAAAAGCACTTATGTCAATTACTAGTACTAGGTCATGATAATAACACCAAAATCTTTTGATGTTTATATCTTTTATTTTTGAAAGAATACAAACTGTAATAAACAATCAATGGAACATATCAACTCTGAACTATACTATTTATAATGCCTTTTTATCTATCTGGCAATGAACATGAATAATTGAAGACTTAAATCAAAAGTGTAATCTACCATTAATAGTTC